AGCTGCAATAGTGTGTCCTTAAGATACACAATTTTGACAGCATTATAAGTCCATGATGATTTGATAGTACCATTACAACCAGCAAAAACCATACCCAAAAAATTACCCAGAGGAAAAATGTAAATCCTTAAAGTGTAAAAGCGTGGATCAATAGTTTTAGAAACTTGCAACATTCTGAATAAATTTGTTCCTCAGTGTCTAGATGATTTGCTATGTATTGATCACAAAAAGTACAATTCCTCAGTCTCTAGATGATTTGCTATGTATTGATTATAGTAAGTACAATTCCTCAGTGTCTAGATGATTTGCTATGTATTGATTGCAGTAAGTACAATTCCTCAGTGTCTAGATGATTTGCTCCATATTGATTACAGTAAGTACAATTCCTCAGTGTCTAGATGATTTGCTATGTATTGATTAGAGTAAGTACAATTCCTCAGTGTCTAGATGATTTGCTATGTATTGATTCTAGTAAGTACAACTCCTCAGTGTCTAGATGATTTGCTATGTATTGATTATAGTAAGTACAATTCCTCAGTGTCTAGATGATTTGCTATGTATTGATCACAGTAAGTACAACTCCTCAGTGTCTAGATGATTTGCTATGTATTGATTATAGTAAGTACAACTCCTCAGTGTCTAGATGATTTGCTATGTATTGATTACAGTACGTACAATTCCTCAGTGTCTAGATGATTTGCTATGTATTGATCACAGTAAGTACAATTCCTCAGTGTCTAGATGATTTGCTATGTATTGATCACAGTAAGTACAATTCCTCAGTGTCTAGATGATTTGCTATGTATTGTTCACAGTAAGTACAATTCCTCAGTGTCTGGATGATTTGCTATGTATTGATTGTAGTAAGTACAACTCCTCAGTGTCTAAATGATTTGCTATGTATTGATTATAGTAAGTACAACTCCTCAGTGTCTAGATGATTTGCTATGTATTGATCACAGTAAGTACAATTCCTCAGTGTCTAGATGATTTGCTATGTATTGATTACAGTAAGTACAATTCCTCAGTGTCTAGATGATTTGCTATGTATTGATCACAATAAGTACAAGTCCTCAGTGTCTAGATGATTTGCTATGTATTGATTGCAGTAAGTACAATTCCTCAGTGTCTAAATGATTTGCTATGTATTGATCACAGTAAGTACAATTCCTCAGTGTCTAGATGATTTGCTATGTATTGATTGCAGTAAGTACAATTCCTCAGTGTCTAGATGATTCGCTATGTATTGATTATAGTAAGTACAATTCCTCAGTGTCTAGATTATTTGCTATGTATTGATTATAGTAAGTACATTTCCTCAGTGTCTAGATGATTTGCTATGTATTGATCACAGTAAGTACAATTCCTCAGTGTCTAGATGATTTGCTATGTATTGATCACAATAAGTACAATTACTCAGTGTCTAGATGATTTGCTATGTATTGATCACAATAAGTACAATTCCTCAGTGTCTAGATGATTTGCTATGTATTGATTGCAGTAAGTACAATTCCTCAGTGTCTAGATGATTTGCTATGTATTGATCACAGTAAGTACAATTCCTCAGTGTCTAGATGATTTGCTATGTATTGATTGCAGTAAGTACAATTCCTCAGTGTCTAGATGATTCGCTATGTATTGATTATAGTAAGTACAATTCCTCAGTGTCTAGATTATTTGCTATGTATTGATTATAGTAAGTACATTTCCTCAGTGTCTAGATGATTTGCTATGTATTGATCACAGTAAGTACAATTCCTCAGTGTCTAGATGATTTGCTATGTATTGATCACAATAAGTACAATTACTCAGTGTCTAGATGATTTGCTATGTATTGATCACAATAAGTACAATTCCTCAGTGTCTAGATGATTTGCTATGTATTGATTGCAGTAAGTACAATTCCTCAGTGTCTAGATATTTGCTATGTATTGATCACAGTAAGTACAATTCCTCAGTGTCTAGATGATTTGCTATGTATTGATTGCAGTAAGTACAATTCCTCAGTGTCTAGATGATTCGCTATGTATTGATTATAGTAAGTACATTTCCTCAGTGTCTAGATTATTTGCTATGTATTGATTATAATAAGTACATTTCCTCAGTGTCTAGATGATTTGCTATGTATTGATCACAGTAAGTACAATTCCTCAGTGTCTAGATGATTTGCTATGTATTGATCACAATAAGTACAATTACTCAGTGTCTAGATGATTTGCTATGTATTGATCACAATAAGTACAATTCCTCAGTCTCTAGATGATTTGCTATGTATTGATTGCAGTAAGTACAATTTTTTTTCTGTTTTGTCTTAAATACCACCACCTGTCCTGCTATTACCTCCCTTTTCTTTTATCTTTCTTATTTAAGTAAGGCTCAAGCTGCATTTCAGCATGCTTTTTAATCTTGACTCATGCTTCCATTTAGTTTAAGATACATAGACATTTAATGCTTTCTTCCTCCCTTTATTTTCATTACTAAATCTACTCCATATGGCCCTACAGGTCTTGCTTGCAATAAGACTCTAAAATCACTTTTAAATCTCATCTTTCTCTTTTTAAAATTGATTTGTTTGATATGCTATGTGATTTATCTTTTATTTATATATTGCATAATGTTCATTTTGCAAATCATTTTGATTTATTTTATTTTTGTCTTTTAAAATTAGTGAAAAGCTGATTACAATTTATGTTAATTGTTTTAATTGCATCAGTATCTGTACATCAAATCCCATCAAATGATGGAGGCCCCGAGTGGCCAGTGGTCTAAAGTGCTTACCATTATGGATCACTGCCATCTCACCTCTGTCTGTGGGTGTTTAAGCCTAGGATTCATCGAATGTGGATATGTGAGAAAGCTTGCTAGTAGCTTCTCATGGGTCAGTGGTTCTTACCTGTGATTTCCGGTTTCTTTCTCCACCATTAATACTGGCCAACATGATTAACCTATTGTGTGCTGAAAAATGGCATTAAGCCCAACAACAACAACAACAACATCAAATGATGCTATCAACAAATAATGGCCATTTATATATATTTAAAGTGAACATTCAAAGATATAAACTTACAGTTCATCTGTTTTCAAAAAAGATTTGAGTGCAGGGACAGCTTCTGTTTAAGAATGCAACATGTGTCATCAGATAAAAAAAAGGAAACTATAATCGACATGGGCTGTACATTTTTTTAATTATGTGAAAGCCACACCATAACAATTTTATATCTGAATATATGTTTTAAGAATGTATTATAGTAGTGTTTAACTGTACATAACACAGCATTTCACTTGTCCCACAAAATATTTAACTTGTCCCACAAAATATTTAACTTGTCCCATAAAATATTTAACATGTCAAGGACTGCCAGACAGGTGATTTTGCCAACTGTATCATATGTGAATGTTAAAAGAACAAAAAGATTGGCATTGTATTGGTTGGCTTATTTGGAAATCAGTTATAACTTGTTGGAGGATTTCAGAATTGTCATCTTGTCATTGACTGATACTGAATTCCTGTTTTGTGACTTAGTGGACCCGTATTTCAGATTCTAGTACCAGACTCCTAATATGTTTGGACTTTGATAACATATTATTTTAACAAATTAATTTTGGACCTTTTCTACTGAAGGTTGCTTTACAAATTTCAGCATGGTATGCTAATTGAAACAAATTTAAATCAACTGTGCATGAAAAAAGGTACTTGCAAATTATTTATTTATTTATTATTTATTGTTGCCAGCATCTCTGGAAGGTTGACTGGTCCCTGCAAAAAGAATCAGTTTGATGTTACTAGCACTGGTCTTTGCATTAAGGAGCAGTTTGATTTTCATTGTGTTCTGCGAAGACACTTTTTTGATTGTTTGGAAATAGTCATAATAATTTTCAAAAAGGATTTGTAAACTACAGATATAATAAAGAAAGACTAAGATGTCTGTCTGACCTGGAATATATCAGTAATTTTAATTTTATATAAATGATTTACTAATGTTTCTGAACATGACTAGCTAATTGATGATAAGAAATGAACTTTGTGTATATATATATATATATATATATATATATATATATATATATATATATATATATATATATATATATATATATATATATATATATATATATGTATATATATATATATATATATATATATATATATATATATATATATATATATATATATATATATATATATATAAACTCTCCTTAATTGCAGGTGTTTAATAAAAATATTCTCTCTCATTGGTAACACACTCAAGATAAAGTCATGTCAGCCACTTAAGTGATTTAGAATATACTCTGTAAGGAAGTAATTTGACTCTCATAATGTTTCAATAGTGACTAGTCATACAACTGGCTTACAATTTATTCTGCAGTTGATTAAGCCCATATTACATTATTCAGTTTGTTTACTCTCCTTACAGATTACATCTTGCTGTGCTATTCAATACTGACAATGGTATATATGACCTAGTAGGGTACAGGATAGATTGGAATTTAACTTTCTAAGACGCAGATTATTTGGGTGTGTAATTTATTCTTTTTGGAAATTGTAGTTTTTCAGGACTTAACATGAATTAATTGGACTCATCCTGGAAAGTGGTCTTGTTCACATAAAGTGGGAATTAGTATTTTGGCAGGCAGTGTCTCAATGTTGAACTGAAGCGGTCTTCATTTTTCAGTGGATTTTAGTTCTACAGTCATGAGGTCTTGTTGATGTAATGCTGGATTCTAATTCTTTTTCTCACTTTCCACTTCTTGTTAATTTTATATACATTTATTCTGATAATGTATGTGAAAATGAAAGGCCTATTTCTTGGATATTTACCTTTTTGTGTGTGGAAATGTAATTCCCAATTTATGGATATTGCCCTTTCCATGGAATTTATATTATTTTTCTTTGGAGTTTATTCATTAACCTTGGATTTGAGGCTTTCTCAGCACTGATAATTAATGAAGTAATGTTTGTACAAGTTATTTCACATGTTTTTTATTGAGGTTTTTTTATCGACCACTCTGGTGGCCTAGTGGTTAGAGCATCTGACTTTGATGTTGGAGGTCATGGGTTTGATCCCCAGCTGAGTCATACCAAAAACTTAGAAAAATGGTACTAACAGCTGCCTCACCTGTTGCTCAGCATTACGAGGTTAGTGTTAGGACTGGTCAGCCTGGTGTCAGGAAAATGTGATTGGGAGCAACATAATGCCCCAATGCTAGACATCACTATAAACTACCACACTGAGGCCATCATAGAGATATGACTGAGAAATTGTTAAAGCTACCATAAAATCTTTATTGTATCACAATATGTTACTATGTCCCCACTGCACTCGATGAAGGACAGCCGACTGTTTTCTTGCTATCTATCTGCATGTCTCCACATCCATACATCCATCAAGAATCTGTATGTCTCCACATCCATACATCCATCTAAAATCTATGTCTCCTCATCCATACATCCGTCCAGAATCTGTATGTCACTACATCTATACATCCATCAAGAATCTGTATGTCTCCACATCCATTACATCCACCAAAATCTGTCTCCTCATCCATACATCCGTCCAGAATCTGTATGTCTCCACATCCATACATCCATTAAGAATCTTATGTCTCCATATCCATACATCCATCTAAAATCTGTCTCCTCATCCATACATCCATCCAGAATCTGTATGTCACTACATCCATACATCCATCTAAAATCTGTATGTCTCCACATCCATACATTCATCAAGAATATGTATGTCTCTACATCCATCAAGAACCAATATGTCTGCACATCCATTCATCCATCCAGAATATGCATGTCTCCCCATACATCCATCTAAAATCTGTCTCCACATCTATACATCCATCCAGAATCTGTATGTCTCCCCATACATCCATCTAAAATCTGTGTCTCCACATCCATACATCCATCGAGAATCTGTATGTTACTACATCCATACATCCATCGAGAATCAGTATGTCCCCTCATCCAATACATCCAACTAAAATCTGTATGTCTCCACATCCATACATCCATCCAGAATTTGTATGTCTCCATATCCATACATCCACCTAAAATCTGTATGTCTCCACTGTCCATACATCCATCCAGAATCTGTATGTCACTACAACCATAATTCCATTCAGAATCTGTATGTCTCCACATCCATACATCCATCTAAAATCTTATGTCTCCACATCCATATATCCATCCAGAATCTGTATGTCTCCACATCCATACATCCATCTAAAATCTGTATGTCTCCACATCCATATATCCATCCAGAATCTGTATGTCTCCACATCCATACATCCATCTAAAATCTGTATATCTCCACATCCATACATCCATCCAGAATCTGTATGTCACTACATCCATACATCCATCCAGAATCTGTATGTCTCCACATCCATAAATCCATCTAAAATCTGTGTTTCTCCACAGCCATACATCCATCCATAATCTGTATGTCTCCACATCCATACATCTATCTAAAATCTGTATGTCTCCACATCCATACATCCATCCAGAATCTGTATGTCACTACATCCATACATCCATCCAGAATCTGTATGTCTCCACATCCATAAATCCATCTAAAATCTTATATCTCCACATCCATACATCCATCTAAAATCTTATGTCTCCACATCCATACATCCATCTAAAATCTGTATGTCTCCACATCCATGCATCCATCTAAAATCTTATGTCTCAACATCCATGCATCCATCTAAAATCTGTATGTCTCCACATCCATACATCCATCTAAAATCTTATGTCTCCACATCCATATATCCATCGAGAATCAGTATGTCACTACATCCATACATCCATCGAGAATCAGTATGTTACTACATCCATACATCCATCGAGAATCAGTATGTCACTACATCCATACATCCATCGAGAATCAATATGTCACTACATCCATACATCCATCCAGAATCTGTTTCATCATGATCATACAAAATCTGTTTGAGCTTAATTGAACAAAACCAGTTAATTTAGAGCCATATACTTTAGTCTTTTAATTTAATCAAAGTCCTAAAAGACGTCTTGTAGATTTTCAGGCCATTGCTTGCAGTTTTTCATATCTTTATACATATATGTATAATCTTTTGGGACTTTTGATGCCAAAACTTTTATAAATAAGCAAAAACCACATGTGTAGAAATAACGTTTTGTGGACATACTTATACTTTTGAACAGAGAGTTTAATGAGATGTTCAGGCCATTGCTGTAATTTGCTGCACATTGTATAAACATTTGAGGCTTTTTTTGCCACAAACATTATTATCAGTAAGCAAAAAGCCATACAAAATTTGCAAGGAAATTTGTCTTCAGATGAAATTTTCTTGATACTACAGCATTATTCAGTTCCTTTTTTGCACATTTTTAAATTCACTGAGGGACCTAAGAGAGTGTGGAACCACTATTTACTGAGAGACTTGTTGGACCACTATATTCACAGATGGGGTTTATAATGTGGAACCACTGTATTTGCTGAGAGACTCTTTAGTGAGTTACAGCTGTATTCAAGGAAGGGGCTTTATAGTGTATAGTGTGAGACAACTGTATTCACAGAGAGGCTTTATACTGTGGGACCACTATATTCACTGAGGAGATTTATACAATGGAACTACTGTATTCATTGATGGTCTTATAATAGTGTGGGACCACTGTTCTCTAATGGGTTTTTATAGTGTGGAACCACTGTGTTCACTGAGGGCCTTATACTGTTGGGCCACTGTATTCACTGAGGGGTTTTATAGTGTGGGACCACTGTATTTACTTAAGGCCTTATAGTGTGGGGCCACTGTATTAACTGAAGGCCTTAAAGTGTGGGGCCACTGTATTCACTGAAGGCCTTATAGTGTGGGGCCACTGTATTTACTGAAGGCCTTATAGTGTGGGGCCACTGTATTTACTGAAGGCCTTATACTGTGGGGCCACTGTATTCACTGAAGGCCTTATAGTGCGAGGCCACTGTATTCACAGACAGGGCTTTGTTGTGTGGGACCACGGTATTCATTTATTTTAATGATTGGTTTTTATTTTATTTATGGATGGAAAATATAACTGTACAGTCACACCATAATAACTAACAATGGTTAATTTAAGTTTTAATAGAGTAGCATTTGATAATCTGATTATATTCACACTTAACAAAAAAATTATAATTGGTCAAGCTCACCCTGGCAGAAGTTTAACAATGCAATCTCAGTAAAGTTGCTGTAAGTCTTATCAGTTTGTCCTTCGTGTTTGGCTTTAATGAGTTTGTTTAAATTCCATGTTTTTGTCATTTTATTGGGTACTATTGTCCACAGGGTCAAGGACATTGATATATTTATGTGCATAGGTGCACAACAACTTTCCACCTAGATTGGTGGTTGTGATTGGTGGTTGTGACCAATATTTGTAGCTTCAGTCACTTAGATCACTTCTTCTTATCACTTCATTCTTACATCCACTGTTGGTTAATTTGGTGAGTTCAGAATGATTGTGCCATAAGTCATTTTGACCCCTTGTTTAGTCCATTATTAATGGACACATTGATAATTTTGAATCTTTGAATATGGCTGTAAGTACATCCATCTATCCATAGCCTAGATTAACCTCAGTGGTAAAGTTGTTTAACTTTTATTTTATTTTAATTTTAATTTTAATACCTTTATTTCCCAACCTCATTACATTTGAATATAGCTTGAGTTCTAGCTTAATAGTATTGCTTGTAATATTGTTAGTCATAATGATTTATTCAAGTTAGAAAAATTTTATTCAAGTCTCAACAGGGATTTGAATCTGTTTAAATAGTAACTATTATGACTGTTAATTATGAGTGAACACTGCTAAAAATTTATCCAGATGTTAGGACTAGTTCATGTATAGATCAATGACTTTTACTTACAACAAATAAAACTTGAAGAACAATGTATAATGTTGATGAAATTGCAAATCTATTATTTGTAAATATTAAGCAAACTTTTCACATTATATGTGGAGAAGAAGAAAATCTCTTATATTTATTATTGAAATAATAATAAAGAAAATATATATTATTTTGTAGTCTACAACTTAATTAGGAAGTTACAAATTATATTGCAAAACAATGTTAATGACAACAGTTTTATTAATTAATGACCCCATATGAGCTGAGCTTATGGTATGGTGCAGTGACCATTGTTCATCAATCAAATTATTCATCTATCCATTCATTTACTAGTTACTCATAGGCAAGGCATTTTTTCTGATTTTGTTCATACTGGAATATGTCTTATGTCATCAAGGTGTCAGACAAGTTTGAATATATGTGAGATACTCATGTATTATTGAATTGATCTTGTTACCATTCTGCAAGCCATATTTTCTGATCCTGTTTTGATCCGAATTGGAATATATGCTTGTATCATCAAAATCTCAGAAATTTTTCACAAAGAGAAGGAGAGGTACAGATTGAATGGGCTTTTTATTAAGACCATACTTTTCTTCTTAATTATTACAACTATGGAGGCCACATTTCTAGTTTTGTTATCACTGAAGACCATATTTCAAGTCTTGTTACCACTGAAGACCATATTTCCAGTCTTCTTACCACTGGATACTATATTTGCAGTCTTGTTATCACTGAAGACCATATTTCCAATCTTCTTACCACTTGAGACCATATTTCCAACCTTGTTACCACTGGAAAACCATATTTCTAATCTTGTTATCACTGAAGACCATATTTCCAATCTTGTTACCACTGGAAACCATACTTCCAATCTTGTTACCACTGGAAACCGTATTTGCAATCTTGTTTCCACTAGAAACCATATTTCCAATCTTGTTACCACTGGAAAACCATATTTCCAATCTTGTTACCACTAGAGACCATATTTCCAATCTAGTTACTACTAGAAACCATACTTCCAATCTTGTTACCACTGGAAACCGTATTTCCAATCTTGTTACCAATGGAAACCATGTTTTGAATCTTGTTATCACTGAAGACCATATTTCCAATCTTGTTACCACTGAAGCCCATATTTCCAATCTTATCCACTGGAAACTATATTTACAGTCTTTTTATCACTAAAGACCATATTTCC